AGCCTTAAGCTCTTACAAGGTCTTACACCACTCGAAAGACTGAAACGCCATCTACTTTCGCACCGAACGCGCTGCAAAAGCGACCGGGAAAAGTGCCTAACGTTGCTTCTGAAACCCTAGAAAAAAAAGATCTTTTGCCTGCCTTTGTGATAACCGTCCTGTCGCGTCCTGTCGCTTTGACGTCACCTGCAACAACTCGACTCATGGCCACCACTCGAAATGCTGAAACGCCACTTAATTTCGTGCCCAAAATGCCTAACGTTGCTTCTGAAACCCTAGAAAAAAAAATTGCCTGCCTTTGTGATGATCGTCCCTTTGTGATAACCGTCCTGTCGCGTCCTGTCGCTTTGACGTCAGCTGCAACAGCGCGACTCATGGACACCACTCGAAACCCTGAAACGCCACCTAATTTCGTGCCCAAAACGCTCCAAAAGTGACCGGGAAAAGTGCCTAACGTTGTTTCTGAAACCCTAGAAAAACAGAACTTTTGCCTGCCTTTGTGATAACCGTCTTGTCGCGTCCTGTTGCTTCGACGTCAGCTGCAACAGCTCGACTCATGGCCACCACTCGAAACGCTGAAACGCCACCTAATTTCGTGCCCAAAACGCTCCAAAATCGAGCCTAAAAAGTACCTAACGTCCCTTCTAAAACCGTAGAAAAACAATAGTTTTGGACAAGGTTTTATACTTTTCGACCACTTTTTATATCACTGTTTGTACAATAAGACATAGAACCCTCCTGTTGCTCCTGTTGCTGCTGCTGCTCTTCCTCCCGAGGCTGAAAACGCACCCTCGATGACGGGAAACGCAGTGGCCCTGAAGGACGGAACAGCGCCAAAATCGAGCCCAAAAAGTGCGGAACGTCCCTTCTGAAACAGGGAACCATAGGAAAAAAATATCTTTTGCCTGCCTTTGTGATAACCGTCCTGTCGCGTCCTGTCGCTTGGACGTCAGCTGCAACAGTTCGACTCATGGCCAGCACTCGAAACGCTGAAACGCCACCTAATTTCGTGCCCAAAACGCTCCAAAATCGAGCCCAAAAAGTGCCTAACGTCCCTTCTGAAACCCGAGAAAAACAATATAGTTTTGGACCAAGTTTCATAAAAACAACATAGTTTTGGACAAGGTTTTATATAGTTTTCGACCAATTTTTATACCACTGTTTGTACAATGAGACATAGACCCCCCCTCCTGTTGCTCCTGTTGCTGCTGCTGCTCATGGCCACCACTCGAAACGCTGAAACGCCACCTAATTTCGTGCCCAAAACGCTCCAAAATCGAGCCCAAAAAGTGCCTAACGTCCCTTCTGAAACCCTAGAAAAAAAAGAACTTTGGCCTGCCTTTGTGATAACCGTCTTGTCGCGTCCTGTCGCTTTCAGTTCGACTCATGGCCACCACTCGAAACGCTGAAACGCCACCTAATTTCGTGCCCAAAACGCGCCAAAATCGAGCCCAAAAAGTGCCTAACGTCCCTTCTGAAACCCTAGAAAAAAAAGAACTTTTGCCTGCCTTTGTGATAACCGTCTTGTCGCGTCCTGTCGCTTTCAGCTCAACTCATGGCCACCACTCGAAACGCTGAAACGCCACCTAATTTCGTGCCCAAAACGCGCCAAAATCGAGCCCAAAAACTGCCTAACGTCCCTTCTGAAACCCTAGAAAAACAATATAGTTTTGGACAAGGTTTTATAGTTTTCGACCAATGTTTATACCACTGTTTGTGCAATGAGACATAGAACCCCCCTCCTGTTGCTCCTGTTGCTGCTGCTGCTCATGGCCACCACTCGAAACGCTGAAACGCCACCTAATTTCGTGCCCAAAACGCTCCAAAATCGAGCCCAAAAAGTGCCTAACGTCCCTTCTGAAACCCTAGAAAAAAAGAACTTTTGCCTGCCTTTGTGATAACCGTCTTGTCGCGTCCTGTCGCTTTCAGCTCAACTCATGGCCACCACTCGAAACGCTGAAACGCCACCTAATTTCGTGCCCAAAACGCGCCAAAATCGAGCCCAAAAACTGCCTAACGTCCCTTCTGAAAGCCTAGAAAAACAATATAGTTTTGGACAAGGTTTTATAGTTTTCGACCAATGTTTATACCACGCGTCCTGTCGCTTTCAGCTCGACTCATGGCCACCATTCGAAACGCTGAAACGCCACCTAATTTCGTGCCCAAAACGCGCCAAAATCGAGCCCAAAAACTGCCTAACGTCCCTTCTGAAACCCTAGAAAAACAATATAGTTTTGGACAAGGTTTTATAGTTTTCGACCAATGTTTATACCACTGTTTGTGCAATGAGACATAGAACCCCCCTCCTGTTGCTCCTGTTGCTGCTGCTGCTCATGGCCACCACTCGAAACGCTGAAACGCCACCTAATTTCGTCCCCAAAACGCTCCAAAATCGAGCCCAAAAAGTGCCTAACGTCCCTTCTGAAACCCTAGAAAAAAAAGAACCGTTGCCTGCCTTTGTGATAACCGTCTTGTCGCGTCCTGTCGCTTTCAGCTCGACTCATGGCCACCACTCGAAACGCTGAAACGCCACCTAATTTCGTACCCAAAACGCGCCAAAATCGAGCCCAAAAACTGCCTAACGTCCCTTCTGAAAGCCTAGAAAAACAATATAGTTTTGGACAAGGTTTTATAGTTTTCGACCAATGTTTACACCACTGTTTGTGCAATGAGACATAGAACCCCCCTCCTGTTGCTCCTGTTGCTGCTGTTGCTCATGGCCACCACTCGAAACGCTGAAACGCCACCTAATTTCGTGCCCAAAACGCTCCAAAATCGAGCCCAAAAAGTGCCTAACGTCCCTTCTGAAACCTAGAAAAAAAAGAACTTTTGCCTGCCTTTGTGATGATAACCGTCTTGTCAAACACCTTCTATTTCCTCCTGCTGCTGCTGCTGCTCCTGCTCCTGTGACTCCTTCTGTTCAAAAGGCACCTGCCGGATGGGAAAACACCATGGCAGGAGTAGTAGTAGTAGTAGTAGTAGTAGTAGTAGTAGTAGTAGTAGGAGTAGGAGTAGGAGTAGTAGTAGTAGCAGGGCTCTGAAGGGCGAGCGCGTGCCAGAACCACGCCAAAAAAGTCCCTAACGTGTCGTCTGAAATCCTAGAAAAATCTAGATTTTTTGGTGCGCTGCTGGCTACTGGCCGCTGGCTGCTACTGGCACTGGCTGCTAACAGCAAAACACCACCTAATTTCGTGCCCAAAGCGCAACACATGAACCCCCAAAAAAAAAGCGGGCGGGAAGGGCAACCCAAGGAGCCCCACGTACTTCGAGGAGACTCCGGGAAGGACCCCCCACCGGTGAAACAAAAACCCCGGAGTCAAGGAATCGAGGTACGTGACCGGTGGGAGGGGGACCCAAGAGAGTCCCCCGGCAAAGGGTCATGGTTATTGTTGTTCGTTGTTGTTTCTTGTTCTTTGTCGTTGGCTACTGGCTATGCTGCTGGCTACTGGCCGCTGGCTGCTACTGGCGCTGGCTGCTATAGCTACTGGCTATGTGCACCTTTTGCATGCTCTTGCCTAACGTGTCGTCTGACACCCTAGAAAAACACAATTTTTCGATAGATTCTGTTGCTGGCGGCTGCTAGCAGTAAAACAGGTTCGGAAAAATCACCTCCCGGGGGGAAAACACCAGGGCTCTGAAGGACAAGCGAGTGCCAGAACCACGCCAAAAAAGTCCCTAACGTGTCGTCTGAAATCCTGGAAAAATCTAGATTTTTTGGTACGCTGCTGACTACTGGCCGCTGGCTGCTACTGGCGCTGGCTGCTATAGCTACTGGCTATGTGCACCTTTTGCGTGCTCTTGCCTAACGTGTCGTCTGACACCCTAGAAAAACACAATTTTTCGAAAGATTCTGTTGCTGGCGGCTGCTAGCAGTAAAACCGGTTCGGAAAAATCACCTCCCGGGGGGGAAAACACCAGGGCTCTGAAGGACGAGCGAGTGCCAGAACCACGCCACAAAAGTCCCTAACGTGTCGTCTGAAATCCTGGAAAAATCTAGATTTTTTGGTACGCTGCTGACTACTGGCCGCTGGCTGCTACTGGCGCTGGCTGCTAACAGCAAAACACCACCTAATTTCGTGCCCAAAACGTAACACATGAACCCAAAAAAAAAGCGGGCGGGAAGGGCAACCCAAGGAGCCCCACGTACTTCAAGGAGACTCCGGGAAGGACCCCCCACCGGTGAAACAAAAACCCCGGAGTCAAGGAATCGAGGTACGTGACCGGTGGGAAGGGCACCCAAGAGAGTCCCCCGGCAAAGGGTCATGGTTATTGTTGTTCGTTGTTGTTTCTTGTTCTTTGTTGTTGGCTACTGGCTATGCTGCTGGCTACTGGCCGCTGGCTGCTACTGGCGCTGGCTGCTATAGCTACTGGCTATGTGCACCTTTTGCGTGCTCTTGTTGCTGTTGTTGTTGTTGTTGTTGCTGTTGCTGTTGCTGTTGCTGTTGTTGTTCTTGTTGTTGTTGTTGTTGTTGTTGGATGCTGCTGCGGCTGCTGCTGCTGCGGCTGCTGCTGCTGTTGCTGCTACTGCTGTTGCTCCCACTGCACAAATGCTGTTGCTCTTGCTATTGCTGTTGCTCTTGCTCTTGCTCTTCCTGTTGCTATTGCTGTTGTTGTTGTTGTTGTTGTTGGCTGCTGCTGCGGCTGCTGCTGCTGCGGCTCCTGCTGCTGCGGCTGCTGCTGCTGCTGTTACTGCTACTGCTGTTGCTACCACTGCACAAATGCTTTTACTCTTGCTGTTGCTCTTGCTGTTGCTCTTGCTGTTACTCTTGCTGTTGCTCTTGCTCTTGCTGTTCCTGTTGTTGTTGTTGTTGTTGTTGTTGTTGTTGTTGTTGTTGCCCGACGGGGAAAACATCATGACTCTGACGGACGACACAGGCAGGAAATCTAGCTGTCCTAAGGGACAACATCCTTTTCCCTGGCGCCATCCCCCGTGGCTGGCCGGGGTCGGCGGATTAATGGTCTTCATTTGTAGGGGATGAGCCTCAACCCGCCAATGGCAGGCGATGATGATGGCACTGTAGAAATGCTTCTCTTTTCCTTGCGCGACTTGGAAGCTGGAGATCCGCTGACCATTTGTTACATCGAGAACAACGAGAAGCACCGGAGCAGTCGCATGGCACGAAGGAACACCCTGGCGGAAGGCTGGCTGTTTTACTGTACCTGCTGCAGTTGTTCACAGGAGCCCTTGAGATGTCAGAGTTGTTATCAAGAGATGGAACTGTGGATCAGCAACATCCATGGAGGGCCTTATGAAGACTCGGAGGAGGCTCCAACATGCGATGTTTGTGGCTTGGAAGATCTGGTGGTTTCAGGACCTTACTTTTTTCATTGTGGATCTTGTGAAGTTGACGTCTGCGAGAAGTGTGCAGATATGGAACTTGGAAAGCTGCAATCCGAGACCTGATGCTCCAGCAGGTTTTGCCAAACTGCTGTGTCGCCCGTTGTGCTGGATGTCCTTAGCCCGGACAAGAGGCAAGATTCTCCTTGAGGTTTTGCAGGAGAACCATGGAGAACCTGGTGGAGAGGGTGAAACTTTGGCCTGCCAAGACCGGCTTCTTGGGCAATGTTTGGTGAGCTCATTTCTGGCTGCATATCATTGAGCAACTGCTGTGGGCTAAGATGGTCCAAAAAATCCAGAAATTGAGCAGCGAGGGACGTTTAAAGGCCAGCAGCCAACAGTCACCAGGTCCCCAGGGGTTTGCACTCTGGGGTGCAAGTCAAGGGTCGTCTGCTGCCACTTCAGAGGCTTCCAAAAGGATGTCGCTTTTGAGTTCAGAGCGCTTGACGTGCCCGTGGTGTACGATTTGAATGAATGGAAAATGACAGTGTGCGCCGGCGGTTGTCCGGCAAAATGTCGGTCAATGGTGTGGGTTCACATTTTTCATCCTTTTCTAGTGAGATTGCCGCCCACTTAGTCACTTCCTCAAAACCGGGAGGAACAGAAGTGCCCAAAAAGACTGAGAAAGACGCCAAATTCCAAAATGGCGAGTGGGGACCCCCAGAGAGTTATGCTTACTTTATGCATCTTTATGCTGTTTCTTTAAAGGATCATGAGCTGACTTGAATGCCTTGAGTTCTAGTGTATTCGCCCTGACCCTCCAAGGTTGATGGAAGTAGTTGGCGTCAAAAGCAAGCCTGACTACAACGGCCCAAAGCTCAGTATTCAACGCTGAGCCCAAAGCAAACTTGGCTTGACCTTGATACACAGGCAAAATCGTGCGCGTCTTGAAGTTTCATCCAGAGGTGCGAGTGGACACTTGAGCAGGTAGGGGAGACCAATGTCCACCACTGTCAAACATCACACATGTTCAATCCCTTTCAAAGCTTTTGAAGAAAAGGAAATTAAGCTCCAGAATATGCATCTTGGAGTAAAGAGGCTGTCCCCCAGTCCGAGTGTGTGTGGTGCATTCCCCCTGACTCGTGACACACACAGACACACACACACATATATGGGAGCCGTCCAAAAACCCCAGAAAGGTTTTTAGTAAAGGACCTATTCTCGCATTTTTCCCATGGTCTAAAACCTGCATCGCGCAAGTTTCGCGCAAGGGCGGCCCAAGGTACGCGCAAGTACTATTGTTATCATTATTACAAGTACTATTTTTAGTTAACATTTTGATTACTACTACTACTACTACGACGACTACTACTACTACTACCACTACTACAACAACTACTACTACTACTACAACATTACCACTACTATTACTACTACTACTACAACTACTACTACTACTATTACTACTACTACTACTCCTACTCCTACTACTACTACTACTACATTACCACTACTACTATTACTACTACTACTATTACTACTATTACTACTACTACTACTCCTACTACTACTACTACTACTACTACTACATTACCACTACTATTATTACTACTACTACTATTACTACTACTACTACTCCTACTACTACTACTACTACCACTACCGTATCTGATTTAGATCTTAAATATTAATATCTCGAGTTGATAAACATAGATAACCAGGGTGGTAAATAGGCCATCCAAAGATTAAAAAGGAGCAGATAGATAGCTAGATAGATAGATAGAGATAAAGCAGCCAACGCGGTCCGGAAGACATGCAGCAGCAGTCCGGAGATGGTGAGCAGGAAGGTGTTTCAGAGTGGTTTCAGACCTCTTTTGGGCTTGTTTTTTCGGTACCCCAGCTTTGGGAGATGAAAAAAGAAAGAGAAAAGGTAGAGAAAGAGAGAGAGAGAGAGAGAGACAGAGAGAGGAAGAGGGAAAGAGAGAGAGAGAGAGATAGAGAGAGAGAGAGAGGAAGATGGAAGATGGAAGATGGAGACAAACAGAAGGCGAGAGAGAGAGAGAGAGAGAGA